TCCCCACGCTGCTAGCGCGAGTTGGCGTACCTTCCAGGCGCCGAAGATGAGCTCGAGGCTGTAGACGGCGTGCATAGCATTGGGAACCCCGAGGGCCACCAGGAAGAAGCCCAGGATGCCCACGAAGATGTTCTGGGAGGCTGTTGGCAAACATCACAAAACATCCACATCACACACAACATCTGGAAGGAAAGTATTGAATAGGCCAGTAGCAGAACCACATATAAGAAAAAATGTTGATGTCGATCACATAGAAGATTTCGATGTATCGAATAATTCGATTCGCCGAAGAATAGGGAGTTTGTGCACGCCATAGCGGCAGCACTATCGGTCTTCTGCGCATGCGCAGATTCACTAAGGGGATGCGAAGCTCCAACTGCGCATGCTCGGAAGATCGATCATTCTGTCGATATCTGTCACGCGACGTCGTGCAATAATCCCTTTTGAGTAATGCATTTAATCGAATAATTCGACATTTTCGATTATTTTGAATTGCCTAATTTCTGTTAAAAGACTTGAGAAATAAAGGAATTCGAGTTATTGCGTATCCAGAAAATTGTATGTTACTGAGAGCTCTCATTAGCTGCATATAAAGGAGGCGTACAAACGTGGTTCTTACTTTCTATTCCGAATTCTCTTTCTGCCATTTTATGAAAAGACTTGCATTTATCCCAGCATAAGAAAACTGAATCACTAAAATGTAAATGAGTTCTACATGTACTACGTATTTCGTTACTCACATTTTTGGAATTCTGCATTTTCAGCTCGGATGGTTTGCAACACTGTTGTTTCGTTGCAAAGTTTGCCAAATTCTTGCAAAGGGGTCAGTCCCTTCACAACCATCAGCACAGACAACACTACTCCAGACAAGGAAGCCAGCTGCAAGAGACGCAACAAGGAGAAATTATTTAATATTATGTTTTTAAACGATCTTTGAAAAAAATATTAAAAAAACTGTGTGAGACATGGAACCCGGAGAAGCTATTTGATTTCCAGAAGCAAAGCAAGATGCCATCTGAGAATTTTCTCAAAGTTTCTAGGGAATCTGAACGAAACTCCGAGTCGTAGACTCACAAGAACTTTACTATTATTGTCGTGTCCTAGGTGTGTGGATGATGTTTTATTTCAGAGTACAGAATTTTTTGACAATTAAAACGTGATAATAGGAAATTAATCTGAGTTGGCAAATATTGTAAAACTACATGAAGAACATCTGCTGTTGGAGTCTTGATCGAAACAAGGGAGATGTGACAATATTGTAATTCAATATGATCGTTAACAACTTTTACAATAAAATATGTGTGTTTATATTTTGAGGTGTTTTCATCGTGAGCTGATGTGTTTGAACGTTGCTTTGTCATTTTTTATTTGTTTCCTCATTTTTGCAGGTGAATACATTTTCAGCTATTTGGCTCATTTTAACTGTGCACATCACTTCTGCCGCCATCTTTGACATCTGAACCGGCAATGTTTTTCGTATTTTTATAGGGGATTCGTATTGAAGGGGGTTTAAGTTCCTGTTCTATAGTGCCCATAGTTGACTATTAACAGTTCAATTAAACGTGATTTTGTGTTTCTTGCTCAGCGGTATGTGAAAAGGCTATAGAATTTCATTTGCCGAAAGATGTTTCTCAAATATACGTGTTGAAACTGGTGAGCCCAACAGACTTTATAAGCAAACTTTGTTTTCTATGTATGAGTTCGGTCAGTCTATATTGGCAGATCTTGTGCAACAGTTCGTTTAATTGCTCTCCAGAAACTAAAGAAAAATTGTCGAAACAAATGGAACTATGCAATTAGAGAAATCTAAGGGGTATTTTGGACAATTTCTGCTCCAAACAGTGTAATTTTTTCGCCGATCAATTCGCCGATTGTAAATGGATACCTAGAGATCCCATTAGAGATTTTTTTTAAAAAAAATCTTTACGTCAACTTGGACGCAACGCATCTCCAAGCCCCTACTGGGGGGGGGGGCGTTGACCGCTTCGCACTTTTGGATAAATCCTCCGTTAACTATTGTGTGGGAATAAAAATCCATTAATTAATATAGTCCGGCACGTCTCGTCTCAGTCAGTTGTCAAGAGGACCGCCAGGTAGCATCTCCGCGTACGCTCCTCTCTCTTATGCGCTCCTATGACACTACCCAGGGGTCAGAATTGGGAAGGAATAAGGATAGGGGTAAGATTTAGGACTCTTCATAAGGGTTGGACTAGCCCCTGTTAAGCATGCACACTTTTTTTGTCGTAACAAGTATCACATGGGGTTCTACGGAAATCGAACCCGGAACTTCAGTGGTCAAAAGCAAGCGACTTCGCCACTGAGCCACGAAATCATTCTTACTAGAAAATTCACCTCTAGTAAGTTTAAGTAAGGTAAAACACATACACGCATGAAACGTACAACACATGCATTTTCAGGCACAAACACGTTATTGCATAAATGTACAAACACAAAAGAATATTGATTTCATAAACACATGCAAAGTACACATGCAGGAATGTTTCCTTTTTTGTTGAGACGGATATATTTGCAGCAGTATTTTTTTTAAATTGAAAATGGAATGCTTTAAAAAATCACCTTGAAAAATGGTTTATAAAGTCATTATTTTTTTCCAGAAATTCATGCTTTAAAAAAAAACTTTTTAATACACACGTCTCATATACGCTCTTAATATTTCAAAATGTCTGAAAACATCCCGTTTTTCTCCGACATAGGATACTATTCGTACTTTTGCCAATAAAATCTTGCACAAACATCTTCAAACAGCAATAATGTTGACAACAACAGCTACAATATTGATGACAACAACAAGGGTGACGACATCGACATGATTGTACATACCATGGTCAATATGCCCACCATAACAACTGAAGTTTTGTACACTGCCTTGGACTCCATCTTTTTTTCATCTGTGAAACAACGCGAAATGGACATTTTATTGCTGAACGCTACGCCAAACAACTGCAACAACTTGCAACGAGAACGTTCGCCTACCGACTGAAGGCAAATGGGAATCTGTCGAAGCATTTGTTATTGCTTTGACGGGAGCATAATACAATGCATTTCGTCGTGATGATTCACGTTGAGCAAGTTGTGTTTGGAACAAAGCGTCAGATTTGTATACAGTTATTACAAAATAATGTCTATCTTCGTTTCACTGACGTCATTCCAAGTAATATTGCACTTTATCTAGAAGCTCAGTGTCATATTTACTTATTTATTTCATTCCTAATCGAAGAAGTCGTTTGTGAGTAAATTAAATTAGGTGTTTTATTACAATTGATTTTATCGAAATTGTTAATTTTTAAAATGTAGCATCATGGTATTCATAATTAAACAGTTTTCATATAGTAAACAACATAAAAAATTTAATATTGTTTAATTTATTTTAAGCTTTTACAGAAATATAGCGATTTTTTACGGTGTCAATTCGTTCTTCTACTTATTCTTTACTACCGAAAGTGCCCCGTTGTGGCCTACCCACGGCTCAAAAATGTTATGAGTCGAGAAATAAGAGAGAATTTTGACGTATCACAGGATTGACATAGTAATAGAAATCTGAGAGATGCGTAGTTCAGATTTAATCAAAATTCACAAATCGATCAATTCCGATGGGAAAGTTAAAGGAAACGTGGGTGTTTGTAATATAGGGATATATATTACTTTCAACGGAAAGCTTTTTCGGATATTTCTGTGTTCGATGATAAAGATTCATCGGTTGTAAAAAACGTAAAAATAATTTTTCCAAGAGAAATAATTCGATGATTCAGAAAGAAAGGCTCAGAGATACAGAGAGTGAGAGAGAGAGAGAGAGAGAGAGAGAGAGAGAGAAGGGAAGATGTATAGAGAGAGAGGAAGATTCACAGGAAGTGAGAGGGAGGTGCACCAAGAGAAAGAGAGAGATGCACCGAGAGAGAGAGAGAGAGAGAGAGAGAGAGAGAGAGAGAGAGAGAGAGAGAGAGAGAGAGAGAGAACAGAAACAATGTCTTCTTCAAATTCCCGCATCATCGATACACCGCATCATTTCGTGAACACGCCCCTTTCTGCCACGACCTTCAAATTTCCAGTTGCGGGCCTACGTGAGCGCTTGCCCTCCAAGAAAGTACTCGGGCGCGCGCATCTCAAATTGCTTCCTCGCTGACGCGGGCGCGCGCGCGCGGTCGTAATTCGAGAAGGCGGTGGCGCCGGCGTGCCAGACGGGCACGACGTAGAAGGCGCCGGACTCGTGGAAAGGCGCGACTTCCGCGAATTGTTAAGACGATCGCGATCAGCTGGCGAGACAGCGCGACGTGCCAGGGTATCGGATTCGCCTCGGAGAACAATTGTCCCAGAACTCGACGAGTGATTCACCAAAGGCACGTTTTGCCTGATATTGGAATGTATTTTTTGTGTTTCCTTTTATGGTTGGCCCAGCGAGAATAATGACGACGGTCTTTATGATTCACTTTGGCGCTTTTACATGATAGATTGAAACACAGATAAAACATCATTTTTACGCAATGGTACGCATTTTATTTAGCACTGGAAATAGATTCTGGATATTAATTTAAATATTTTTTTACCCCTAAAAGTCATACTTTCCCCCTTTTTTAAAAGTAAATTTTTGACGGTTTTGCGATATTTTTCATAAATATTGTAAAAATTTTATAAATAAAAACGATTATAAAAATATTGTTTAAACGTTTAAAACAATTGAATATAATAGACTTCAACATATTTATCTAGACTATGGGATATGTAAAGAAGGAGAAGAGGAAAAATGAGGAAACAGAAGGGAAGATGTGAAAGATCAAAGCGACCTTTTTACATTCTCCGGAACTGTTGTGAATGCACGATGAACAAATGTTCTGCGCGTTATTTCTCGCTCAAGAAGCCCTAGTAATGCAGAGACGCGACAGTTAATGATTTTACAAGCATCGTTACAATATGCAAGTGTCTCAGAATAAATGTTGTAAACGCAGGGGATTGAAAATTATAATTTTTCTTAATCAACATGAAATTTCAAAACAAAAAAAAAAAGTAACACGTGCCATTAGACCCTGATTGGTAGGCCACCCACAATGTATCGGTGTTTGGCGGGAATGGTTGGGTGGTTGTTGGAGATTCCGGGTGCGTCAACTATGGATGCCATTAGTCCCTTAAGTAGAGTGCTTATTCTTTGCTGTGATGATATAATTTTGACGGCGAGTGAACATCAATTGATTTGACCGATTACTGATTCCGGGCGCATCACGTTGTAAGATCATTTGTCCCGATGGTGACGTCATTAGTGCGTGTTTTATCGCGGGAGGTAGCGGTAATATCCTCCCACTGACAGGCGAGATCCGCAGCCGACCTACAAGTCGGTTAGCGGGGTTTTCCCCAACCAGGTATCTCCCACCAGCGGGGCACCGCCCCAGCCGGGACAAGCTCTAAGCTCCCGACCGGTCTCCCGGCATGTGTGTTAGTGTAGTGCATGCGTGTGTAAGTGAAAGGTGAGGATAGGATAAGGAAGAGCAAGATCGCGTGTAGTGCGTACTGCGTTTGTTAGCGTAGTGCTTCGGCGTTCAGCTGGAGTAGATCGCAGGCAGTCGCATATAAACACCGAGTAGAGCCGCCACGCAGTGGCTTAGGACAAACGTTCTTGTCACAGCAGCATCGCCGACCGGAAGGCCGTAGGATTCGAGTGTCCCCAGCTGACGTATTTTCCACACTGGACTACCAACAACAACAACAACAACCCCTCCCCCTCGCCCTCCCTCTCCCCTCCCCCTCTCTCTCGCTCGCGGAAAACATGCGCCACACTTACGGGATTAACTACCTCCCTAGTTTAACGCGCCTGAAATCGGTAACAACCAACTAATCGGTTGACTTGACAAGCAGCGGGTCTAACCGGTTGCCCGCAGCGTTTCAGACAAGCGAGCAGCCCTGCTCTAGTTCTCCAGGTTGTACTTCCGGGTTGCCGACGTTGGCGAATTCACGAACCGGGCATCGCGAGAGGTGGCTCAGGGCATCGTATGATGTCACCGCAGTTCTCTGACTGGGACGTCCTAGGGTTCGAGGTGGAAAATAATTTCGACACTAGTTTGTCAGCTGGGTGGAATTCAGAAGCTGTCTGGCTGGAGGAGAATTGTAGCAGCCGGCGGCTCTGGTCGGTAGTTGTAGTGGTTTGATTGATCAACACCAGGCGAATGCTGGAGCAGTTCCCTAACAAATGGGCCATTAACCGCGCGCGATCTTTCCTTCCTCTTCCTTCTCCTATTATCACCCCTTACACACATATTTACACTACCATACATGAGAAGGGACCGGTTGGGAACGCAGAGCTTGTGCCTGCTGGAATGGTGCTCTGCAGGTGGGAGATACCTGGAGGAGGAGAAACCCTGCCAGCAGACAGTTGGTCGACGTTGGATCTAACCATTCAGCGAGGGAATATCACCTCGATATATTGCGGAAAACACACTCACTACACGTACGAGACTAATGATCCTATCCATTGCCGCGCCCAGAATCACAAGTCAATCATTCATCAACCGGTCTGAACAAGAACCGGAAATGCGGGCTGATCCTAACAAACGCTTCGTCGGTTTCCTGCACTCATGGCTGAACAAATGAAGGAGTAGTTCCTCAACAACAGATTACTAAAGTCATGCGACTTCCTTTACTTTTCACAATCCGTTGCTTTTCGAGTCTCAGGGCCCGCTTACTACCATCAATGCCATCTCCTGTCTGTATTGTCTTGCACAGCCACTCACAAACTCCCGAGGGAGCGGCTATCTTGTATACCGGTGGAGAAACGAAGCAAAAACTAAGGGGGACACTTGCTATACACTCGTTGTCAGGATAACTTTTTAAAATCTATTAAGTCTGAGGCTTTTAAGAGAAACTTTTTTTCAAACCTTGACATTTGCTGGTTTTGACTATTTGAAAGTATGTCCCTTGTCAGAACGTTTCGTGAAACAGCACATGTTACGTAAATATAACTTATTCATGATGTCGTAAAACTATTTGAGACCTAATCTGCATGTACGAATAGGTGCGGATATTAAACGAAGGTTGAAAATGTTGCTAAATTATCTGTCACTTTGAAAGTATTAAACGCAAGTAAATCGTCGCTGAAATTTATGTTACTGTGACTCGTTGAAATGAAAAATGATTAAAGCGAACCCTGTAGGGTATACGAAAAAAATAGTTTATCATGTTAGGCAATGGAAACTGGTCTTCAAGAATGATTTAGTAGATTTTGCATTGCATTTTATCAACACATTACGCGTTTAAGTATTAGCGTAAACATACCGATCGTTTCAACTTATTGTGATTCGCTCATATTTTTGAAAGAGAAGATGAATTCTAAACTGGTGCGTACGAATCTATTTCACGTAGACTATTTGTTTCACTTCAGAAATGATGATCTGTATGATACAACAGGAAACTGCAATAAAACGAACAAAACAAGAACAAACATTTTCAGTATTTGCGAAAATCAAGTCGCAAAAGAATTCATTGCAATTTTTTATTGTACTTTGTCTGTATCCTCGAAATTTTACGTCGCAGTTGAACCACGAATCATCCAACCACTGCCATCATATACTCTCAAGAACTTACGAAACCCGTAAAGCGAGTATTATTCAAACACGTTTAAATATCACATGTTCGGTTTAATCACATTTTGGCTCACAGACACACTTTTGTAAGTTAATGAGTTAAAGGATCTTTTTCCATTCCAGTGATTTTCTGAAAGAACTGAAATATACTACTTCATTTCTGGAATTCACGACTACAGTTTTAAATATGGAAATTCATAGGTTTTGGTGAATTATATAATGTACCGATAGGTTAACTCATTCACCAATACTCATGAAGTATTCCCATACTTCACTTGGAACACTATTTCACTTCGAATTGCACTTGCACACGCA